TGTGTTCTGCCTCCAGAACAAATGTTGTACATGCTAGCTATTATCACTGTCTCTTTTGTTTTAGCTCCTTCTCAAAAGCTGTTTTCAACCAGCATCTCTTCAAAGGGCGGTGGGGTTTTTTTTTCCATTATGATTCTCAGTAGGTCCATGGATAGTGCATGTGAGTGGTTTGCCACTCGAACATACCAGGACTCTGAGGACATGGGCGCAGTAAACAGATAGACGACTTAGGCTTCACCCATTTAAAGACTGCAGCATTGTATTATGTCAAATTATAAAGAGCAAAGTCACTAAAGGGGATTAACCACTCTACCGCAACTTCAATATCAGTTTATTGTAGACTTGAGGGCAAGAATGAATGCCTAACTCTTTCCTCACTTCTGCTCTGTCTTCTAGCTAACTCACGGAGTTATGAATAAGGAGTTGAAAGCTTGCAAGAATCCCGAGGACCTCGAGTGCAATGAAAATGTGAAGCACAAGACCAAGGAATACATCAAAAAGTACATGCAGCGATTCGGCGCCGTGTACAGACCCAAGGAGGACACCGAGGTGTATTGAAGCATTTCAGTCCACAGATGTTACATTTTGCTCTGCGCTAACACAGGAGAAGCACAGATTTGCCTTTCCATTCACTCCCACATGTACGAACTGTCCAGCCTGAACGGTGAAGTAGTTTCTTTATTTCTATTTATGTCTACGAATTGCACTGCTGAAGTTCTCCAGGCCCTGCGGATCGCACAGGAGCCCCGATATACGGACTCTGGGAGACTTGGTTGTTGATGACCAACCCAAGACTCCAGGTGCAGTGTTGTCAGACGATGACACTGAGGGGTGCTACAGAGACTGTTTTCACTGACTGTTTTATTTTTTATCGTTTTTGTTTTTTTTCATTTGCGGCTCTTAAAAGTTCCTCAGATGATCACCTCAATTCCAGTTTTTAAACTGTTATATCCCTGAATGAGGATCATTCACAGGAATCAGCTTTGGTATCACATTTATCAAAGTTTTGTTGTTACTTTCCACTGTTTAAAAAAAAAAAATTTAAAAAAAAGGATCCGTGCCCGAACAGTCGAGTTCTCCCTCCCCAGCCTCCTTTTTCTCCCCCCTCTGTACACGCTTCAGCCCCCCTGCCACTGACCATATCTGGTGCTGCTTTTAAATGGGCTGTGGAGGTCCAAGCTTCCACTCCTGCAAACCCTGCCTTCTTAACCACAAGACTTTGGAGCCTCTGTTGTTTTATGAATGCATGATGTAACCTGAGGTCAGAGTGATCCTTATGGAAATCCCTACATTTTCCACATCTTCTTACTTCAAGTAATCTTCCCTCACGGGGATGAGCTTTTTGCTCACGGTATACTGAGGGATCAATCGGTGGCAATCAGGCTGGCGAAAAGGAGTTAGCGGTCAATCTTTTCTTGACTTTTATCAGTTAATGTGTAATAATGGGAGCAGGGTTTGAATGCTATGTTTGACATGCTGTTTAGGTGTGTGTCCAGTTACTTCCCCACTCCGGCCCCACTTCCTCAACTTGTTCTGCCCGATTTCCTCTTCTTGCAGGAATGATTCTGAGAATGAAGGTCGTAGCATTGCAGTTTTAACCGTTTCTAAACATCCCACGTGTTCAGTCTTTTTACCACTCTTAGTCCTAGCAAGACATTTGAGACACTTTGGTCGACAAACTGTCGCTCATTAATTTCTGAGATTTTTACAGTTGGCACTAAAAGTTGTTTCTTTAGCATTAGGTCATCGATTTTACATCTCATAAAATTGCATTAAAAAGAATTCCAACATATGTACATTGCTTTATATGTGAATATACTGAATAATAGTTTTTTGGAATGCTTAATTAAGCCGACACTTTGTAAATGGAATATGATTTGGTGATTAAAAGTGTAAATATTGTGTAAAATTACCAAAGCTGTATGCAGGAGAGTAGGGTGATGGAGCACAGTGAGCCCACTCATCCTCACCAGCTTAGTCCTCCTGATGCAGTTCCCATATCAGTCAGTGAAACTTAGGAGCCCACTGACTACACAGCCAATTTATTTTAATGAAGTGGCCAGGGAGATGTTCATGTGTTTTGTTTTTTAGTTGTTATTGTTGGTGGTGTTTCTTTTTTTTAATTATTATTTTTCTATGTACAAATTAAATTTCACCCAACTCTACTGTAAGTATTGTGTAAGCACATTGTCATACCGAGTGTAAAAACATTTTAAAGATAATAAACTTTTTTTGTAAAATCACATCAATATTTTTTCCTGCGGTGCAGTTCAGTTAGGTTCGTTTGAGCATCAATTATATAGACCAGAATATCTCTAAGCAAATGTGACTGCCTTGTGCTTCATGATTAACAGCGTCGCGCACACCCAATCCCATTTTTAGATCTGCTCCCGCCTCTAATAAAGGGTGCACATGGCACGAATGCCACTACGGCACTTTCGCACAGCACTGAGCCAGATGTTCGGCCCCGCTAAAAGGGAAAAAAGTATGGACTGCCTTCATTAGAGACATTCAGTGTGCTCTAAATATGGAGAGCTGTGAGGAGTAGAAAGACGCGCTGCTGTGCTTCCCCTCTCTCTTCTGGGTCCCAACCCCACCCCACCCCCTTTCCAGTGTATGCACATTCCGCAGCCTCATGCCAGTGTGCTCCAGACCGCAGTTAAGCAGTCCCTTCTGGAGTGTGTGACGGCATGTAACGCTGCTCTAGGCCATGCACGATGCCTGCTCCCACTTAGGACTGTAGGCAAAGAGATCATTAACAGATCCGAGTTCATGGCAGAAGGGGAGGAGGAATGAGAGATGGTGTCTCGGTGAGAAACAGAAAACTGCTCCTCCAGAAGATTTAAGATTATTTTGGTTTCGCCCTCAAATTATTAAATACCTCTTAAATGATTTCCCCTCAGGGTTTTGGACAGGAAATGTCCTCATACACTAAATCCCTTGAAGAGAAGTAGTTTATTCCATGTCCAAACTTTGTTACTCTAACCCATCAGATGAGTTTTATACTTTGACTAAAGATGATAGACGTAGGTTTATGGGACTGTGGTTCTTTAGCAATAAATGTCTTATTTCCGTAAACCTAAAAAAAAGACTTTTCATTTGGTGCAAATACAACTGTTCACTGTTGCCTTTCACTAGACTGTCATAAAACACTGTATCATTATTACGTACATAAACAATGCCAGAACTGTTTGGGCCTTTGGGAAGATGACAAAAAGATGAAAATTAAACTATACTGTGTGAAACTAATGAGGCCTGTCGAATCTCTTGTCAGCTGAGCTCTTTTATCATCACTTTTACATATTTCATCTGTTCTTCATTTCTGTGCTTCATGTTTAAGGCCCTTTTAAAACTCATTAACATTTGTTCTGATTGTAACTTTAAATTGTAATTCTGCTTCTTTTTCTTTTTTTGTTTTTAACGAGTTTGTAAATAATCGCTTAGCCTCGAGAAACTAAATAAAAGGTGCAAGTTCCCCAGGCTGATTGTAGCAGATCTGCAGCATAAAGACTGATGTTTTATCGTCTGTATAATGCTACACTTGATTAGTAATTCCACAAAAAGCAAAAGAAGTTAAACATCAAAGTTAGACTTGCTTGCCAATTCATTAGTTACAGGTAGTGAGTACTGGAATGGACCTCATTTTACCTTCAGAGCTCAGTTTCCTGTTCTTAGCTGACTGGAGAAGCCTTCTGCAGCTCTAGCAAGGTTCAACATGTTGTGGATTCAGAGATGCTCTTCTGCATACCTTGGTTGTAATGAGCGGTTATCTTGTTACTGTTGCCTTCCTGTCAGCTGAAAGCAGTCTGGCCATTCTCCTCTGACCTCTGACATCAAACGAGGCGTTTTCGTCCAGAAAACTGTGGCTCACTAAATATTTTCTCCTTTTAGACCAGTCTCTGTGAACTCTGATTAAAATCCCAGCAAATCAGCATTTTCTGAAATTGGCTGATTAGATACTTTTTCACTAAACTTACTTACTAAACAGTTATACCTAACAAAGTGGCTGTAAGTGTATTTGTTAAATGACAACTAGGCCACCACAGATATCTCATAGGTTTTATTTACTTTCTGACTTGAAATGGTGTTAAAATAAATACAAAAACAAGGTGTCAAGCTGAACACAAGGATTAATGTTGAGAACTTTTTCTACGTTTTAAAATGGAAAATTCCATCTGCATCTTCACAAATTTCCACTTTAATCCAGGACTTTACCAACCCCTTAACATTTAAAGTGTTTACAATTAAATGATGACTTGAATGATGACAGAAAGCGCTAAGAAAGTTGTTTAGCAGAATCTGACGGTGCTTGATATTTCCTCAGTGTAAATGACCACAGCTACTTTGTGGCTGCAGCAGAAAAAAAAAAAAAAAGATTAAAAAAAACCCCAACAGAATAGGCAATAACTTTTAACAAACAACCTAGTGAGCAGTTCCTATCTACATACAAGATAAAAGTGTTCTTATAAAAAATATAAACTACAAGCAATAATGGGGACAATTACAGAGATATGACTTTGGTGTTCTCCTGAAGAAATCAGACCACATGCCCATTAAACCCGCACAAATGATCCCCATTAGGAAAAGCCACAGGCAAAAAACATGCCAAAATCAGCTGTACCATAGTGGTTGCTTCAGTTGTGAGTCATAACAAAAAGGCTAGCCATACTAAAAACATGATGACGTAACCTGTGTGCATTTGTACAACAACGTGGGGCAGGATACATATATGTGAATATATATTTGGAGTTTTTTTACATGGGGATGGATCTAATTTATGATGTCTCTGAATAATAAAACTCATGCAACATGTAAACATGTTATTTCGCTTCCTGCCACTAACTAAATATTTACAAGACATAGTAGTGTGCGCGTATAAACAACACTGTAAATGCTCTTATTGTTGTGTGAGAGGAGATCTTTCCACGTCATCCCAGATGATCAGGTTGTTCTCTCACTGGTAGCATCAGTTGCAGTGATGAGATATACAACAGTTTATACCGTTAGCGTCCCGCTTATGTGTTGATAGGACACATTAACAGGAGAATCAGTCATGCAGTTAGAGCAATGTACAATCAAGTGGTGACATAAACTGGAGTAAAGGTTCAGAAGGTAAAAAAAAAAAAAAGAGATTAAAAAACCCATCAGTGGCAGAGGTGGTGATATCAGAGTACCTCTCATCATGTCAGAGTTTTTCACCCGAGTCTCTGAATTTCACACGTAGGGTCGAGAAGTTGTCAGACCACAGACACCCCCTGCACGGGACAGTTAAGAGCTGTTACTATGTCGGGCCTCTCGATGCGGGCCACTGCAGAGCACAGCAGTCCCAGAGTGGAGCCTTCTTTCTGGGCCCAGTTAGAGAGGAGTGTGTGGGCCGGGGCCTCTCCCCGCTCGAACAGATCCAGCTGTTCAGGCTCATAACCCAGCGCCGCGCCAAGGTGCCTCCAGCCTCGGCCGCTTCCTTCTTGCAGGAGGCGCTCCACCTCTTCCTGTCTTTGTGGAGGTAGGTTCGTGTAAAGACGGTTGTCCTGCTTGTCTCTCATGTTACCTGTGAAAACAAAATCCAACCAAAGTTACCACATCTGTCCGAAAAGCAGTAGCAGTGCTTACAGTATATTATCAAAAGCTATAAAAATACCACAAACATGGGCGCTAGAATAATTGTGTCCTTTTAGAAATACCAAGTTAATTATTGCAAAATTAGGAAGTTTACAGTTGTTGTGGAAAACACTGAAAACTTAAAGGTGATACAGAGATTTCATCCAAACAAAGAGACTTTGTTTAGTTTTAGTGTTAGTTTCTGAAAGCCACAATGCAATACATGGCTTGTCTGCCAGACATCAGTCTGCAGACAAGCCATGTATGGTTATAATATAACTTTTTGAACTTGCTTTCATATATATATTTGACCCCAATCAAATATCGCTTTTCTTAAATTAACCCCTGCAAAATACAGTTGCATTTTATTATAATAAAATAGTAATAATGGATGAACTTGAAAATGAAATTCCTCCTGTGGAAGTTTCCAAGCTAACCAATAAACACGGCAAAGCTCATGGAGTTGTCTCAAAAACAGAGGAGGTTAGACCAAACACACACGTGATCTAAAAGGGATTTTCAAGGCACGTCAACTTCCAAGAGACACGGCAGGCGGCATCATGCATAACTTTAAAAACTCATCGGTAAAGCAGCAAACGTCCCTGGGCATGGAAGAAAGGTTTCGCCGAGAAGAATCAGATGTTTAAAAACAACAGCTGAGATAATAACATATGACTGATGTCTTGGATTGTCTGAGGCACCACGTCATTTAAAAGAATAACACAATGCGCTGAGTGGATAAACTGTAATCGCTCGACTTTCCAGCAAGAAATCATTCCTCGGCGTATTTCCAAGTTAGGACTGGTTCCTGAAATGTCCTCACTTCTCATTTAGAGGCACTGAAAATACTTTTCAGGCTTTTAAAGAAAGCAGCGTGAGCTGAAAGTGTTTGGTCACGAGGAATGAACTAAAATTCCAAAAGCGTGGGAGAAACAACAATAAACATTACCCTTTGGCCTTCTTCTCATCATTAAAGTCAAGGATTGTTATTGTTACTTAAAAACTTTAAAACTGTCAACCTGGTTGCATAAATATGCACACCCTTAACCTAATACTTTGCTTCAGTGACTTCTTATTTTAAAACACCATCTAGTCTTTTTAGGTAGAACTCTATCAGCGTGACACGTCTTCACCCTCCCTCGCGTTGTCTCCTGTGCACAGCTGTCTTCACGTCCGCCCACAGATTTCCTGGTGTGTTTATAGATGTCGGGCACGTCCAAAATTTTAATCTTCCCCTGCTGAAGTAATTCTTTTGTTGATCTGGATGTATGCTACGGGTCATTGTTGTGATGAAAGATGACATTCCAGCTGAAGCATGATGCTGCTGCTGCCATGCTTCAGCGTAGCTATTGTGCTCTTTTGGTGATGTGCATAACTTTTGGAATTACGGCAAAAAAGTCCAGTCTTGTCATTTTCCCACATGCTTTTAGGAAGACCGGATGTATTTTGTTCTGGAAAACTAGCAAGGCTTGGGTATTTTTCTCTGCAAAAAAAGGCTTCTGTGTTGCCACCCTACCACATAGCACAGACATATGAAGAATATGAAGATTGTTGTCACATGCAGTACACAACCAGATCTTGCCAGAACTTCCTGCAGCTCCTTTAATGTCTCTACAGGCCTCTTGGCAGCCTCCCCGACCAGTTTTCTTGTTATCTCTTCATCATTTTTTGAGGGGTGTCCAGTTCTTGATAAAGTCACTGTTGTGCCATATTATTTCCACTCGTTGATGACTGTCTCCATTGTGCTCAATGGTATATTTAATACCTTGGGGATTCTGTTGTACCCTTCTCCTGACTGATACCTTTCAGCAATTTGGCAATTTGTAAACTCTCAGTGGCCCTTTTTGCCGTGACCAGATTAGTTTAACAAAATGGGTTGATTTTGGTTAATGCTCAGTTATATGAGGGTGTGCACTCTTATACAAACACACTACACATTAAGCAGTTTGCTTCTCATTTGAATTGCAGAGGTTATTTGTCATATTAAAGATGGAAAAAGCTCTGAAATTATTTATATTGACATCCCAAAAACCCGCGATGGGTGGAAAGGTTGTTTTTTTTTGTATCCACTGTTCTCGGGGAGCTGCTAGATGTTTTAGCAGCATTTTTAGAAAGCTTGAATGATTTGAAATCAGTTTAATTTAGTTTCATAGCGTCTGTGGCCATCATACCTTTGCTGGGCTGGTTGTCCTGTAGGCTGTAAGAATCCAGAAATACACCACTGTCGCTCTGAAGCTTCTCTCCTTCTGGAGATGTTCCCAACTCTGCTGCACGGGCCTTAGAGAGCGCCTTCTTCTGTTTGCATGACCTCCAGCTGTGAAGACCACAGTAAAAACAATGATAGTTAATTACCCATTAGGTCCTATTTTTAATCACTGGGGGAATAATTACAGATTCTTATGCACATTTCAAAATAAGGACCCTTCTTCAGTGAAAACCTACCATTTATAAGCCACATAAATAAGCAAACCCAGCACCACAGCAGCCAGAACAGACACATATACAAGAATGTTGCTGTTGCCGCTCTCTTCCTGTGTGGTTAAATCAGTCGTTCCAGGAGCAGGACTGGTCTTCCCGTCCTCCGTTACGCCGGGCCACCGAGGAGCATCGGTTTGACTGGGGCGAGAGAGAATGTGCAGCTTCTTCTCTGTGAAGATTAGGAGATGGACATGCGCCACAGTGAGGAGCATTGCATGTGCACATTTTGCACGTCAGAACACATTTGCACACCATAAATTAGGACCAGATGTAATGATAGCCTCAGCTATCCCACTCCCCTGAGGTTTTCAGACCTTTCATTGCCCCCGTTTCCAGCCTGATTCTCCCTCCTGCCGTCTGCCTATTTTGGGATCAAACAGTATATCGTACTGTGCTGACCCACGAGGGGTCAAAGAGTCATGACTTATGGACCCACGGTGTGCACAGATGACCTAACTCCTGGAGAGCGGGTGTAGCCATTTGGGAGCGAGCAGACTTGCTGTCAGGGTCAGCAGCCTCGCTTGACCTTCAGGTTTTTGAGACAGTTAACCTAAAGACCTGTCAAGCTCATATCAATTGGACTACAGCACTTAAGTGGGCTCTTTTTCACAACTCATGTTTCCCAACTCACAGTGTTACAAAGTGAAGTGTAGATGCAGATGTTGACCACATGTCCTCATTTTTTCAGAGACTCTTCCGCTGCTTGTCTCCCCCTTCCCTTCAGCTCTCTCTTTCATCTTTTTTATGCACTATTGCCTGCATCAGATCTTTAAAGGATAAAGCTCTCACTATTCTGTATTTTCCAATTATCAGCCAGTTATAAAATCAAGACCCCAATCAACCCACTGGATAATTTATTTTTAATATAATTTATTTTAATAACTTTTACAGCTGATAAAAGCCTCCCCCATGATTATTCATGGTTCTTGGTTTATTCTTGTTAAAAGGGAGTTTTTCTTTCCCTCTGTCCCTTTATGCATTTTATTTACAGAGTCTAAATCTTTGATAAAGCTCACCCATGCAGAGTGTGTCAGATTGGGGCAGGCAGGACCGGATCTCCACCTCATTTTCAGAGCACCGAGCGCAAGGCTGACAGGGACCTGTGGGACGAACCGGCTCCGAGAAGGTTCCAGGGCCGCAGGTGGCGCACACAGTGTCTCCCATAGAGCCACACTGCCGTACAACCCCCTCACCACGACTGCATGTGGAGCAAGGTGCGCACACGCTGTGCGAGCTCAAAAAGAAGTAGCCTTTGTCACATTCACACTGTGTGTTTTGAGTGGCAGAGCATGGAGAGAAAGTGGGAATACTGTGTGGACACCTAGCACATGGAAGGCAAGAGCCAAGGTCTTCAGATGAGGAAAATCTGCCTATGGGAAAGATTACAAACTCTGCGTCAAATTGGGTGAAGAAAATGATGAGGCACTTGAAACACGCTGAATCAGAGTAGTAACATTAGATTATAAGTGCTTACCCTCTGGGCACGGTGCACATGTGGTGTCCTTTTTCCCACATTCTACCTTCACTTCAAACCCAGGAGGGCACAGACTGCAACACTCCCCTGATTCAGTGAACTTACCGCTGGCACAGGCATTTCCAAGAGTAACCTACAGCAAAAGTGACACAGTAAGAAAAATAAGATACCCCTACTGGGTTTTTTTAAGGCAACAAATCATACGTTTGGGCCATTTTTGGATATAAAGTTATAGGACTGCACGATTAAAGAAGCAGCAAAGAAGATAAACTGTAAATGCCCCCCCCCCCACACACACACACACACACACACCCCAAACCCGCCTTGTTTTTATCTTTCGATCTGCCTTGGTTTTCACCCATAAGTGCTCTTAATCCTTATCTGCAAGTGGGTAATGGAGGTCCCAGCTTGAGTTATGACATGACGAATAGATCAGACATTCCTAACAGCTTGTGCAGGGAGCGAGGGTGCCTGACAGGAGTGGCTGGATTTAATCACATGGCTTTAGGTCATTGAAAAGAATGAAACATAAAGGGGGAAGTAAAACAACCAGAAAAGGAGCGTGAAAGAAGTAAAAGAAAAAAGAAAAAATCTGAGTTTCTGCCTCTCCACTCATTCTAAATTCTGTGTGAATGAGCGCTCTCTGTGTGAATTAACTATACTGGTTGTGGCGGTGACTGGGAATAAAGGAGATGGCCCCAGGCAAGAGTGTCAGTTAACCAAGGCTGCTCAGCATGAGAGTGTCCGTTTGGGTAAGAGGAGCGCTTTGAAGTCACAAAGCCCCGCAGGTGTGTCTGTGAAGGTCAGTATTTCACTAACACGCCCTTCTCCAGGCTCTATGCAACGGCATCTTAAACATGCACACATATTTAAGGGAGATTGACCTACTCCGCCTGGGGCCTGACAAGAGCAAACAGATGTCTAACAACTAACCTCCTGCAAAGGAAAAAAGTAACAGCTAAACAACCTCAATGATGTCTCTCTTTGTTTCTGAAGTCTGCCAAGACACTCAGGAGACATGTGTGAACCTGTAGCCCCCCAGATAAAAACCACACACTCACACACGGACACACACACACACACACACACACACACAGACAGTGGTGCGACTCCAGTCGCGAAACCCAAAATGTTCCGTGCTGATGATACAGGCGAATCGGCTTTGAAACTGTGCTCGACTCGTACCAAAAACAACAGCCGGTTTGACCGCACAGCTTACAGAGGAGCCTGATGATATCTGAACACCAGCCACACAACCCAGAACAGAGGCATTTAGGAGACTGGGGTGGTAGGATCCAGCAGGGAGGAATCAGGATATCTGAGTTGGCGTCATAACCACAATAACTCGTAGCACAGAGGTATCCTGGTAACCCTGGTTTGCCCTCTCCATGTGACTGATGAAGTGCTTAATAACCTTTTGGCCTCTTAATCTATCCTTTGGTAAATATTTAGTGACAGTGGCTCTGTTTTGTTTTTTGGCATTTTTTTGGTGTGTGTGTGTGTGTGGGGGGGGTGACCTCGAGCTTGAATTTGTAGCATTTTATAACGCCTGGTGTGGGTCTGGTTGGTGTAACTTGTTAAACTTGGCTGGGGGGCCAACTGTACGGAGAGCAGGCGCCGGCAAACCCATTGGTCTCCAGTATACATTGAAAGATTTAATTCATGCCACACTGGAAACCAGCGGGAACTGACATCTACTCCTTACAGGAATAAATATCTACTCATTGTAAATTAAATGGTACTCCTTAAGGGTAAATTGAACTTTAAGTACTAAGAGGAGTAAATTATACTTTTACAGGACAATGATGAGTTTCCTGTTTAAGTCTAGAAAGGAGACATAATCACAGAAAAAACATCTAAATTATTTGTTGCTTGTAAACTCAGAAGGCAAAAACTGTTATTTTTAGTTTCGTGCCACATAAATCGACACGCTTTGCTTTCTAAAACATGTATATAACTTGATTCCATTTAATTATTGGCTCTTGTTAATCATCTTGCTACAGCTTGTGTGGCTACAACGTCATACCTTGTCATTATGTTCACTTTTCAAGCAAAGTTTAATTTCCCTCAGAGTCCTCTGGGTCTTATCTGTTGTACTGGGGGGTTATAAAGTCTGAGGGGAACCAAGCTGCAGTTGCTTTTTCCATCAAGGTAAGAAGCTGCAATCTAAAGGGATTCCCCAGTGAGAACAGACGGACCACCGAGGAGCACAGCTTTCAATGGGGCTCTCAACTCCACGGCTGCTGGAGTCACTCAGTCATCGGGGATCTCACACACAAACACACATACACAATTCATTTCAGCCGCCTCTCTGCCTGAAACATTTTCTGAAGTGAGCTCCCTTTTAAAGCCTGCGGATGTGAGTTTCCACTGTTAATCTAATCTGTGTGAAAATAAACATGAAAAGATTGCTCTTCGCCTGTGAAGATGCTGACCCATGATATTTCACAATCTGGCTGTGGCAACAACAGTGAGAGGTCTTTCAGCAGAGTCAGCCCAGGCTGAGAGGGGAAACCTGTCTGAGCAGCACATCTGTGCCCATTCCTGCTATTGGTGCAGTATGCAGGCAGCATGAGGGACAAATTAAAGGACACAGGGTTCCACCACAACCGTGAT